TACCTGTATGTCTGTGACATATAAACTTTCAATGTCTCGAAAAAAAATACAATGTCTACGAGATACAAGTAGACTAACACAAACAATATCATTGTCCTTGCCCCTGCCACAGGTGTACTAAACAAATAAAAGTTAAAAATAAAAAATATATATATATATATGGTATATATTGCACTGAGCTCAATATATACTGGAGAGAGCCATCAGCATGAAAACGGTGGTGGGAGGCAGCCCGACTGTGCGAGAAGCGAGAGTGACGGCCATGCCCGATGGGTATCTTTGTCTCACTTTAATGGTATTACCGTCGCTAATTAGCCTCAGTTATGCCTGCGAGATGTTGCAAGATATTGCCAGATTCGTTCTGTGTTAATAAAGAATAAAAAGATGGTACATCGTTGCCTAATAAATAACTGCAAAAGTATTTTAGTGAAAGGCGATATTTAACTAAAATATGAAAAGAACGAGTTTAACTAAACTATGGAAAAAGTGAATTTGTACGATCAAGGCATAAATTACCCAAATACTTTTGCAATTATTTATTAGGCAATGATGTACTATTTTATTTTTAATTTTTTTAACAAACACAGGACGAATCTGGCAATGTATTGCAACATCTCACAGGCACAACTGAGGCTAATGTTTTTAGCGACGGTAATACCACTAAAGTGAGGCAAAGATACCCATCGGACATGTCACTCTCGCACAGTCGGGCTGCCTCCCACCATCGTTTTCATGCTGATGGCTCTCTCCAGTATGTATCGAGCTCAGTAATATATTGTAAGGTATAAAGTTCCTGCTGTCGGGCTATGTGGCTCTGCAGCGAGACGGTTGCGTGCTAATACAAACAACTACAAAGCCTCAGTTCAAATCCTGATACCGGTTGATTGACTGATACTTTTTTTCGGCTCAGCTCTATATAATATATATATATAGATATTATATGTATACATATGTGCGTAGTATGTATTATATATATTTATATATGTACATGTATATACACTAGGCAACAAAATTAACGCAACACCTGTTTCACTCTGCAAAAATAGGCAAACTTTAAGATAGAATAACTTTGTCAAAAATCATCGTATCGACATGTTTAAAAAAGCATTTTACAGCTTGAAAACTCTACTTTTCAGATCGCTACTTGAAAAAGTGGTCTCTCACGGAGATTTTATTAAGTTACACAAACATAAATGAAGATATATCAGATCTCAAAATTTTTTACGAAATTTGCCGAGTTCCACGGGGCGGACTAAATATTTATGCGCAAATGCGATTTACATCACTCGAAAGAGCAAATCTTTACCTTTAATTTGCTTTTTTACGAAGCTCCGTACGATTTTTTTTCACCGAGTTATTCAACGTTGAAGCAAAAATGACCCTTTTGCTACTACATTGAATAACTCGGTGAAAAAAAATCGTACGGAGCTTCGTAAAAAAGCAAATTAAAGGTAAAGGTTCGCTCTTTTGTATGATGTAAATCGCATTTGTGCACAATGTTTATTTCGTGCGTTGGAACTTTTTAAATTCCGTAAAAAATTTTTAGGTTTGACGCATTTTTATTTATGTTTGTGTAACTTCACGAAATATCAGTAAGAAGACCGTTTTTTGAAGTACCAATCTGAAAAGTAGAGGTTTCAAACTGTAAAATGCTTTTTTAAACATCTCGATACAATGATTTTTGACGAAGTTATTCTATCTTGAAGTTTGCCTATTTTTGCAGAGTAAAACAGGTGTCGTGTTAATTTTGTTGTCCAGTGTATATACAGTTGTAAAACTTATTTAAAAAAAAGTTTTTAGAGTGTTCTACATTTAAAATAATTAAAATATAATAGATAAGCATTAAAATTGTATCATACATAGCATTGATAGAAACATTCAAAATATAATGTGCTGTTCCATGTATTCAGAATGTTATTTTACAACAAGATTACAATATAATTTATCATAATTTCTCTTATCAGACAAACAAAAGTTCAATAATTTTATGTGTGTTTATTTAATATTGTAAACAATTTTATGTCACATCAACTATGTAAGATATACTCTAATTGAGATACACATTGTATAATTTCTATAAACAGCAACGTCCTTAAAATTTTTTTCTAATGTCTAATACTATATCTTCAAATTAAGGATCACAGAAAAATGGCATAGAACATATCAAATAGATCTATTTATTTAGCCATTTAATGATGAATCACAAAATAAGATCTATCTATTCGGTCGGTGAAGTGCTGAAGAAACGTATTAAATATTATAATAGTAAATTAATTAAAGAATCGGTTGAGATAATTACAAAATTCCAATGTACTATTAAATAGACATGCTCACTTAAAAGTAGTGTAAACGCTATTCAACTTTACATCAGATATCACTTACAGAACGATTATGTTCCTCGAGGACGAAACGTGTTTTGGAATTCTTGTTCAATCGTTCCAACGCAAAATCCATACTGCGAGAAGACGGCGAAAGACTTAGAATACAAATACAGCTATCCTGTTGCTTTCCCTTTCTTCTCTGTCAAGCGCGGCATTTACACAACCCCGCGATAAGCATAAAACTTAACCTTACAAACAAGAATGCACGAAATTCGACGCTTATTTCACGATTTATTTTCTTCTTCTCTCAACAATTCAACCAATTCGACGTGGAACGAGAAGGCATTCTTGATATCCCACAATGCATAAGTCATAACACAGAATAGAAACATTACTATCTCTCTTTGTTTACACTTGTCAGCCGCTAACCATAATCAATCTTCGAAATCTCATCGCCGCCGTCCCAGCGTCTCACGCCCTCAACAGTCATCGCCTTGGGCAGTTTGGGCGTTGGGCACATTCGATTCAAGTTGACAAAGCGGCTAGCCTGCTCGCCGTGCAAATGAACATAATTGGTTATTACTTATAGATCCAACCAATCATATTTAATCGCTTGGCAAGCGACTTAAGCCGCTTTGTCGTCTTGAACTCGCCCACTGATGTCCAGTTTCGGATTGGTAGTCTAATATGTATTTTGATTGGGTATCCCTTCATAAGAGAAGCAGCCATCTTTATGACGGCGTAGATGATTACATTCAGCCATAGAGATAGTATAGAGGCCTAGAAAACAGAGATGCGACATTGCGTCGGTTGGGTTAAGTAGAGTCCTAGATATCAGAGAAGCGCAACCGGCTTAAGTCAGTATCGCAAAATTACTAAGAAAAGTATTAAAAATGGCGTCATTTGCAGACGAAATATGAAATCCACCAATCGTCTATTAGTCAGCCATTTTTAATACCACTGAATGAATGTCATGATTGGCTGACAGTCAGCTAATCAGGACGCGGAACATCGGTTGCGCTTCTCTGATATCTAGGACTCTAGGGTTAAGTAACCACCGCCATTTTAATTCAATATAAGTGCTCTTGACCAATAAGCTGATGACAGTTGATGCAAAAGGTAGAAAGATTAGATTAGGCTAGATTAAGTCCGATATTAAATATTCATACAAATAAGAATACTTACACCATAATAATAGTTTTTTATTGCATTTCGACACTATATTGTCTAAATTTTTCTCTATATATATATATATGTACATACGTTATAAAACTATAACTATTAGATGCAATAGTGAATTAAAATGGCTCTCTGATCACGTGATTTAGACAGCCAATCAAGCCATACCCTTCAATGACGCATCTTTGTTTTCTAGGTCTCTGATAGTAGTACTAGAGTACGCATTGTCGGAAATTTGAGGAGTGGGGGTAATTCTATCTAGAAAAGGACGCACTCATTTGGAACCATAGAGATAGTAGTACCAAGTAGTACTAGAGTACGCATTATCGGAAATTTGAGGAGTGGGGGTAATTCTATTTAGAAAAGTACGCACTCATTTGGAACCGTTTCGTTCTCTCTCGTTTCGCGCATGCGGATAGCCGTATACTCTGAGAGAGGGGATCGAAAGAAAGAATAAGGAATTGGAAGAGCAACCCTTGGCACTGGGAAACCTTTAACCTTATCAAAGTCAATTCTTTGTTTGATTTCAAAGAGATCAGGCTTGTCCGGTCATTCTTGGAAAGTCAAAAGTTTCTTTCCGCGAGACTTAACTAAACCATGTGAATTTGATTATCTTTATAAGAAACAATCTGGTGGTGTTGGCCAATATGCTCGCATAACTGGAATTATAGAGGTATAAGTAATAGATTTTTATCATTAATATTTATTGATATTATTCATCGAGAGCCCTTAACCTTATCAAACTCAATTCTTTGTTTGATTCTAAAGTGATCAGGCTCAATCAAGCTTGTCCGGTCATGTAATGATGAAACTTTTCTCGTTCGACTCGTTCTTTTTTTCGGTCCCATCCCTCAGGGTGCTGTCCCATGATACGAAAATTACACCGGAACGGAACAGTGAGACCAATCACAATCGCAGAAAGGAAAGTAGAGTAATGATTGCAGAGATCTGATTGGTCTTAGGCCGGAATCAGACTACGCATTGAAAATTGAGATTGAAGATTAAAAATTGAAATTTGACCAATGAGAATAAAAGAATTTTTGCTCCTATTATTTTGATTGGCCAAATTTCAATCTTTCAATCTTTAATCTCAATGTTCAATGCGTAGTCTGATTCCGGCCTTACTGTTCCGTTCCGGTGTAATTTCCGTATCATGGGACAGCACCCTCAGGGTGCAAACCCATGTAG